TCTTAGGGGTGGCCAAAATGCCCCCCCCCCCCCCCCCAACCGGGCGCGTTGCTCGGCAGAGCCCAACGGGGCGCGGGTTAATAGCATCCTGCGACTTTGAAAACGCTCCGACATCTACTGTAGCTCTGGCACGGTGACAAAGTTGAAAAAGTGACTTGTGGTTGGGTCATTCAAATTGACCTGGTGACCTGCCCTTAACCCGGCACCGCCTGGGCTATTTCCGTACCCACGACAGCCTGGGGGGGGGGTCGGATCCGACCCCCCCCCCCCCCCTGTTATCTCGAGAACCAATGGTCGTATCGAGCCCCGCGAGGCGGCGTTCGAAAGGTCTCTACGAGACCTTCCCAAAGCACTCTTAAGATTTTAAGATTGAGGTCAACTTTCGGGTCAAGGTCAGGTCAAAGGTCAAATTCAGGGGTTTTGCATGATTAGGCTTACGGACAGCGGAATCGATAGCTGCTGCTCGAAACTCACCAAAAATGACCTCAAAGGCCTAGTGAAGGTACCATGTGCGTATAGGGGTCATACTAAGTACGGGTTAAGGTCAGGTCAGGTCACGAAAGGTCACGGTTTTCACTTTCTGCTACATGGGCGTGAGACACATGTTTTATGGCTTATTTTTCACGCCGAATGCGATGGTAATGGTTATATGTGACCCCAAGTCATTGTGCTGGTGATAATTGTGCATTGAAAGCATAAAAAAATCGTTTATACGATACATTACTAAACGAGGGCCCAGAAAAAAGGTCAATTTTTCAACTTTTTATTTTTGACATAAAAATGCACTTTTCTAGGCGAGCTTTGTCCCAGGAATCTAGTGGTGCCATTTGTTTTCACATGCGATGTTCAGAAGTGCCTCTAATTCACGAAAATGCTTATGACGTCACCATGCCCTATGCATGTTGGAGCTATTTTTTACAATTTGGGGGTCAAAAATCAAGATAGAAAGTTGAAATTTGGGACATCTAATGTTCTAATAGAGCTCTATAACATATATTCCGGTTTTTTGGAAATTCCCAAAATTTTGGATTTTATTAGCTGTTTTCCAAAAAATATAGTTTTTTGAATTTTTAGGGGTGAAAAACGCACTTTATGGAAAATCCGAGATAGCCATTTTAAAGAACTCGTTGAGCTGCGTCTTTTCATGTCCTTAATTTGCAATTTGCTTTAAACCCTGATTTTTGGCGATTTTTTAAACATTTACCACTTTTTGACTAAAAACGCTATGTAGTTACATCACTAAAATCGATATATCTCAACAAATTTTGGAATTTTTTTCTTAAAAATTGCACAGGAGACGTCAAATTGATGGGGGAGAAGGTATGCCAAGTTTCAAGTAGATAGCGAAAGTGGTTTATGAGTTATTCAAGAAAAACGGAGGGGGGGTCGGATCCGACCCCCCCCCCCCAGGCGGTCGCGGGTTAAAAGTTAGGAGGTTCAAACTTGCACACCATGTGTAAAATTGATAAGAGAATAGTCGTACCAAATTTCGCGGCGCAACGCGCCGCGGTTTTTGCGCTATTCTCGAAAGACCTCAGAGGGGGCGGATATCCGCCCCCCCGTCGGTGCGCGGGTTAAGAGAAAACTGCAAAGGGTAACTGTGGGAAAACGCACCCCTGGATTAAGCGCCTCCCCTAAAAAATCGTATTTCTTATCGACGGATAGGTGTTTTATCCTGTCTTTCAGAACAGTCAGCTGTTTGTTTACGTAGGTCTCTATTTCCGGTTCTGCGTCTTGAGGAGGAGCGTGGGTAGGTGCTGATGTTGGTTTTGGGTGTTGTTTTTGTTGTTTTTACAGAAGATTCCTAATATTTTGATGCCCTCTTTCACGGATAACAGTAGTAGGTACGTACTACTGTTATCTGTGCCTCTTTATATCAGAAAACTTGCTATTATGCACATCACTCAAAACTGCGTTTTATTGTCATTCTGTTGAATGTATTATGCTGCGGCGTTAGTGGCGCGTTTTTTTTTTTTTGTCAATATTTTGTTGACTGGAAATGGAGTGGATGGGGAAAGACGCCTACTCGATGCATGGGGCAAGACGCCCCCAGTTTTCTGAAAGGGGGCGTTTTGCAGGGTGGTAAGAGTGCAGGGTAGCGCCCTGTAGGTCGGGGCCGAAAAGGCCTCTCCCTGTCCTTTTTTGCTGATATATCCTAAACGACTGCTGATCATCACCAAACTTTCAGGACTCCTCAGGGCATCCATTTTGCACATTGCAACAAAATTGTATTCCAAAGGCTATGATAGGTTGACCACAAATGACGTCAGAATGACGTCAAGTTCTGCCATGTTCATCATGTTCTGTTGATGAATGGGATGGGGGCGCTTTGCACATGGGTGTAGGCGTATTACCCAGGGTGTGGGGCAAAATGCCCTTTTGTAAGGGTATGCGAAAAACTTTTTGGGGGGTTGAATACCACACGCAGGTGTCTTTTCTTGGTCTCAAAGCGTAGTTAAAAGAATGAGCTACATGATGGTGCCCAAAGGTTTGAGTAATCTGTGTTGGGTTGAGTGTCAGAAGGTTTCGCGCTTAAGGGGGGCGTTTTTGACCTATTCCGCCTACCCAAGGTTTATGCATCATCTCTCTCTCTCTCTCTCTCTCTCTCTCTCTCTCTCTCTCTCTCTCTCTCTCTCTCTCTCTCTCTCTCTCTCTCTCTCTCTCTCTCTCTCTCTCTCTCTCTCTCTCTCTCTCTCTCTCTCTCTCTCTCTCTCTCTCTTCCCATCTCTCTCTCTCTCTCTCTCTCTCTCTCTCTCTCCCTTTCCCATCTATCTCTCTCTCTCTCTCTCTCTCTCTCTCTCTCTCTCTCTCTCTCTCTCTCTCTCTCTCTCTTTCCCATCTATCTCCTCTTCTCCATGTTCTGATTTATGATTCTGATCTCTCTTTGTTTCTTTTTTCAGAGACGGCGAATCACCAGACTCGAACAGAGGCGTCACGGACGGAATAGTTCGTCAGTCGCGACCCGAACAAATATGACGTCATTGGTAGTCAGGAACCAACGTCACGGACGGGATAGTTCGTCAGTCGCGACCGGAACAAATATGACGTCATTGGTAGTCAGGAACAGAACTTATGACGTCATGCATAGTCAGGAATAAATATATTGTCAACACAAGTCTGATATAAAACTTATCACGTCATAACTAGCTGTGAGGAAATATGATGAAGTCGTAACAATGAAGTGCTTACATGACGATGGATCACCACAAATAAACAGCAAATAGGGCATAGGTATCATGCCAAGCCCTCAAAAGTCGCGAGGAATTTTGATGACGTCTCCGAAAAACAGCCCCGACAGCTATAATGACGTCACGATTAGTCACGAGAAAATGTGATAATGTTACAAAAGCCACAAGCAGTTATGATGAGAAACATGAATGCGTAGGCAGTCAATTCAAAACAAGACATACCAGAACAGCATTCTATGTGTTTTCTGGCTGTCTGTAATACTGTCCACCGATCATAGCAGAAAAGCATTTGGAACACACTCATGTAACCGATATTTCGAAGTTATGCTATAGCATAACTATGCCGACGTCGTATACGACGTCGGCACAACGTATCGGCATAAAGTCAGCAAAACGTAAAATGACGGACCTTCCGGCAACCCTGCTGACGCCCGCTTGTAACGTTGCCATAGCGACCTGACAACGTTGTAGGTATACCATAACTTACCGAAATGCAACGTTTTGACAACGTTGTACCAACGACATCCGTGAGCTGGGCAGGACCCTGAAACCCCATGACAACTTCGCTGTACCAAGTTCTAGCCCCAATTTTTACGACCTTTGGGTTATTGACTTGACCTGGAAGATCAACCATTGAACTAGGACATTGGACAAATCAGCGTATAATTGGCCTCCTCTCGACACATGCAATATGTTCGTTTTTTTTTTTTTTGCGAAGGTTTATTTTCGTTAGGAAAGTATCGCTATCCAGTATCCAACATTGTTATCTGCCGTTAGCGACCGTTAACCTACTGGATATTGCCGAAAAATGGTAATGGGAAGATTCTACCCCACCCCCCGTCGCGGGTTAACCCGCGAGCTGCTGGGGGGGGGGGGGGGCGTTAAACGCCCCCACTTTTTTCGCCGGGCCATAGCATAAAAACGGCGCGCCGCAGGCGCGCCAAATTTTGGGTACCTGTAGGGAATTGATTGCAGTTTATTGTGACAAAGTTTCAAAAAAATCGGACGGAAAATTTTTGAGATATCGAGGTTTTAGTGACGTCATGATTTCTGAGTTTTCGACCAAAAACGGCATATGTTCAAAAAATCATATAAAATCACAGAATAAACATACAGACATGCCGTAAACGCCATTAGACTGCCAATACCATGAAAAATCAAATGGCTATCTTCGATTATTGATTATCGTTCCGCATTTTCCAAAATCTTGAACTGAATCTTGGCAATTTCTCGTGACTACTTCACGATGGTACATGCATTTCTTAAATTAAATTTTTTGAGCCAAACACGTACACATATGATAAAATGAATGTCACCATCGTGTTCTACGCCCCAAATTACCCATAAAACATGTGTCACAGGCTGCGAATATCAGTTTTTATTTTCGGGGATATGTGCCTACACGGTTGACCTGACCTTGACCCTGACCTATGCTTGACTGACCCCTACATGGAGCTGACACTCTTGTAGGCTTTATATGATGGATTGTGCACCGTTTTGACAGAGTTTGTGACGAGAGGCGCCCATTGCGAAGTCCTGAAATCCATGCTACTGAAAGCCCGATTTCAGGTGTTTGACCTGACCTTGACCTGACCTGTGACCTCAAAATTAAACTTTAAAGTACTCATCTGAAGCGTCCTGTCGCGTTCTTTCGTTTGCCGCCTCGTGCGTTTCGCTGCGCCTATTGGTTCTCGAGTTATCGGCTGGGGGCGTTTAACGCCCCCCCCCCCCCCAGCAAACGGTGGGTGGCGAAATACCCCAGCAACTGCCGGGTTAAGGTAGCAAAAGAACGCATGAAAAAAAAAAACGATAGAACTTGCATGTATTTATTGTGAGCAATCTCAAGCAGCAAAAGCATTCTCATGCGAGTGAAGTGTAGAACTCTTGTCCTGTAAGAAAGCAAAAAACGCGTAGCTCATTTACCATTCTCCGATACAGGTGTCCTAAAAGTATGTCTCGTTTGCATACTTTCGCGCTCATACATCATTCACACATTTATAGACAATGTGGGAAAAGCCACTTATCCCTTATCCCTATAGCCGTACACAGCATCGGCCCTTAGCCATTAATTACACTTGTTTCTCACGTCAACCAGTTTCTATCAAGTTTACACCCAACAGCAAATTCCACAGCACACGCCATGTGAATGTACAGTCTCTCACAAAACTACCGATACACAGTCACAGACAATGTGAGGGGCGGAGAACCGCCGGCTACACTCGCCCCGCCTCCTCCCCCCTCGCCATCGTCACCCATCCCCAGGTCAGGCAGTTCGGTGGCCCTCAAACTTGGCAGTCCTCCCTCGGTCGGGTTTGTTGACACCGCCGCACCGTGTATCGATACGAGACACTGAGCGCACTAATAACTATTCAGTTTTCACGGGCGTCGTTCGAAAGGTAAAGGACATATGGTGCGTTCATTCTAACGATTCCGTAGAGCAGGGTGCTCTAACGGATAAGGCTGGATAAGGCAGCATGATCATCTATCTGTGCATCTTATCCATATTTGTATTCCCTAAGTCACACAATCTCTAATATTGCTCACATCATTTGAATGATTTTCACCGAACTATCACGTCATTGTTTCTCATCATACATGATACAGAAGACACATAAGCAGAAGCAGCGTAGTAAGAACGAGCAGGCGTTATGTTCGACCCCACCGTGTTCACCCGGTGCACGCTGATGCTGAAGGAGCGCAGATTCACCAGCTCCCAGTTGGTGATAAAGCCCGGCAGACTGTCGTCCCATTTGTCCGTCAGCTAGGAGTCCGGTAATGAGCCCATCAGCAGGGTGAACGAGCCTGCTGGGCGAGGTAGGTCATTACTACGACTATTAGTTTGGACTACCTACTCGTATAAGTAATGCCGTATTGCAGCATTATTTTGTTAGCTTATATAGAAATACATTTTTAACCCTCGCATGTGTAGGGGGGGGGGGGTCGGATGGACCCCCCCCCATGGTTTTTCGCGAATAACTCGCGTAAAAAGCGTCCGATCGCGACGAAACTTTCAGTACCCTCGCATTGATCAATTTGACACCTACCCTGAAAATTTCATGACCCTGACCCAAATGACCTTTGACCTGTGACCTCTTTTCCGAGACCATGTTTGGCCGGAATCGCGATTTCGCGTATGTCGGCTCGCACTAGCCGCGTGTTTGCTAGCTTTTCGTGGTTTCAAACGTTCAAACATGTGATTTGATGTTACTCCCGTGTGTGTCAAGGTCACCTGAAGGTCAGGTCAGGTCATTGACCTTTGGTGACCTCGGGTGTCCTCGGGTCACTTTTTCGAGTTTTACATGTTTCTAGGCTAGTTTTTGGAGCTGAATTCGAATTTAGCAACCATTTGAACATTTACGAAGTAGTTTTGGTGACTTCGTAACATGTTACGAAGCTGTCAGAGGCGGTTGATACCTACTAGGAATACCCGGCAGGACCCCCACTGGTTGACCTGACCTGACCTGACCCGACCTGGACTTAATGCATAAAGACATCATCTGTGATCAAAACTAACATGATATTCGTGATTAGCGCCCCGAAAAACCCCATAGCAGCCACACTTTACGACGTTCTGACAGGTCCCGATTTTCCGACTTTTGGGTCATTGACCTGACCTGCAAGGTCAACCAATGACCTAGGACCTTAAAATTAGGTATCATCGGCTTCCTCTCGTCACGGGCAACACGCTCGTTTTTTCCGCGAAGCTCTAGCTCGATCAGGGGCCAAACGGCAAGGGGGGGGTCCAACCGACCCCCCCCCCACATTAGAAGCTGGCAAACGCCGCACACATGCGAGGGTTAAATAAGTATGTCTTGAAAAAAAAACAACCTAACCTAACCATACTTGTCTAAGCAGTATTGTTGACCATTTGTAATAAGAACCTTCCACAGTGGATTGTCACATAGGCGCTCTCTCACGTGGGAACGTGAGGCGCACAGTGACATCAGCAGAGGAATTTATGGTGTATGAAAATAAGTGACGTCATCACAGGTCTCCAATGACAGCTACAGGATGCAGTTTGGGGTATGGAGAAGTGACAAGAAGAGACAAAATGATAAAGCAGTGACGTCACTGAGACGTGGAACAAAGTGACGTCACGGGAGTAGTACGGTAAGGCATCTCATCTCGGGCAGTGACCTTCAAGTCCACCGCTAAATGGTCAGAACTCAGACTTCAGAGTGAAATCTATTTGTTTGCATTGCTTTCGCCTTTCTAAGATATTGGTCGCAACGACTCATCGCTTAGGTGCGTGCTAATTGATGACAAAATGTTGTGATGTTAAATGTCCTACCCTCCGCCGTTGCAGTGTCATACTGATATCGCATGGTGAGGATACGATGGTGCTGCCACCTAGTTTGGAAAGTGCTGCCACCTGGTGTACTCACCGAGAATGATCACCGCTGACACCGCTGTAGGTGTCGGCGAGTCGTTACAAGTGATAATCCCATCTAGTATATGGGGTCCCTGACAACCTTGATGTTGCCGGTCTGAGACGGTATTCTCAGCCTGTCATAAACGGCTCCTGCGGATAAGACAACGAAAGAGAGGTTACACATAACATCTCATTCACAATGAGGAAAATTCTTTTCATGGTTCAAAATAAGTACGAAGTACGAACAAAAGTTTTGTTTGACGTGATATGATTTAACACATCACCAATTTTGGACTTCTGACGTGACGCCTCAGAATGGCACAAAACAGCACGGGTGAGCAAATTGTGTCTCATGCAGTAACTAAATGCAAAAGTAGGTACAGCTATATCAACCAGACACAAATGGTCATGCTGGATAGGTTCATTTATTTTCACAAGTCCGACACCAGTCACAAAACTGGATTGTAGTATATATCTGCGTAAGCCCAATTCAGCACCAAAGACATGTAACAATGACAGTACCTACGTGAACTCTATGTAGTTACGTCCCGGGTAACCACATGAATATGGCAGTTCCAATCACACAACTGCACACTGTAGGTAGTACCTTATACACAGAGTTGCACAAAAAACAGTGAAGACCACAATACGGTGAAAATGTCCATAACACCAATTCATACCACACACCGCGTCAGAGCCCAAGCCAAAAGCCATACCAATTACCTACCTAAATATGAGTGACGTCATCTTACTATACCGGCTAACCTATCATTAGGTATCAGCTAGTGCTTGGTATTGTTCACACTCGAACAACCATTCACGCCACACATGAGGGTAGACTCATCTACATATGAATGGCATCACTATACTGTTTTATCTGTTGTGACGTCACATCAGCGTCATGTGTTCATTTCGACCCGTTGAGAGATTATACGACAGCGGCTCCGAGAGGCCGGTGGCGCCGAGCCGTCTGTTGTGGGACTGATCAGAGGCGCTGGGCGGCGCCGTCACTCACCTAGGACTTGGAACCTCAGTGCTCTCGGCGTGTTGTCATCGCTTTTCCCCAGGTCTGCCCGGACCAGGACTTCCAGGACCGTCTGAGTGAGCTCCTCTGTTGTGTTAAGAAACAGATACTCGAGTTTCCGACAGGTAACCACCAGTCTGCGACAGAACAGAACACAGGCCAGTCAGCGACACCAGCTGGCCGACCGGCCGTCTGGAAGGGACGGGTCCGGTCTCCACAGGGCCAGTTCAAGTCAGGGCCGGTCCGGTCCCGGTGAGGGTCCGGCCCCGATGCCGCGCGCCAGCTAAAGCCATAGTGCTAACTTCTATTGGTTTGTATGCTAGTTATAGTGACAAATTACATACCAAGGCTCTAGCCTCATAAGCACAATGCATGGTAACAGTGTTTCGTGTATGCACACATGCAGACAATGCGTGGTGGCATGCATATTCTGGTCTGGGTCTCGTCTGCGTCTGGTCTGTGTATGGTCTGTGTTTGGTCTGGTTTGGGTCTGGTCTGGTCTGGGTCTGGTCTGGGTCTGGTCTGGTCTGGTCTGGTCTGGTCTGGTCTGGGTCTGGTCTGAGTCTGGTCTGGATGTACAGCTGACTGACCTGCTGACCGCTGTGACAGGTATATCCGTACAGAGTTCACTGGGCGCTCCCAGCTGCATTTTACGCAGCTGGGAGCAGCCGTGGAGGGCGGCCAGTGAGGCGTCAGTGATTGCGCCGGACAAAGAGCCGCCAAGTGTGACGTCCTCCAGGCCGGTGAGGGCGGACAGCAGCCCCTGTAGGGCCCCGGCAGTGACACGCGGGCAGTCTGGGAAACACAGACACATACAGACATGGTAGGTGAATGGTGTGGGAACTGCTACGCTACTCGCTAGCACGTGCTGAGACATAGACAGGTATGACACTACATGCTGCATACGAGCTGACTGCTAATATTGAGCATTAAATAGTGATAATGAACACATTTAATATTATTTGAATGTAGGTATATTTGTATATATGTAAGTAGTTACGTATGCATGTATGCCGTGCTTAGTTGGTATATGGTGTTCGTCAGTACTCAGTACCTATACCTTACGGCTTACCACAGGTAAAGATAACCTGTCCATGCCACCGCCACTCACAGAACATGCGCAGCTTGGTAACCCGTGGTCCCAGCTCCTTAGCCAGCTGGTTGATGACGTCATCTCCCGCCTGTTGTATGACGACATTTAGCCCATGGTCGGGCTGTCGGGCCAGTGGCAGCGGCTTCCCCGTCTTCCCCGGTCCTGTCGGAGAGAGAGCTGTGTCAGCTGACTGCAGTCGGACGGAGCTGCCGCCGGGTCGGGAGGCCGCTGACACTATGGTATGTAACAATGATACAGCCGATTGACACCAACACAGCCGACTCGTCACTGATAGGAATGAGTTTGGCAATGTCTGTTGTATACAAGCACACATAGGTATTGATATACCTACATAGCTCAGCATGGACCATGAACTATGAACAATAGAGATTGAACACTATCGACGATGCTGTAAAAACTATCTGTATTGGATGTCAGGCCATGATCAACATTAGGCGTCGGTTTCCTATGATCATTTGTAGAGCATGTGTTCTTCAAAACAACGTCTATCATAATTTTGACCAGAGTTACAGTGAATACGCATTACACATTTTACTGTGATGATGCCACTGCCCGCTAAAATACTGTTTTTGTATGTAGGTTAACCCTCGCCCTGGCAGGGCATTTTTCATAACACGGCCTGGCAGGGGGGGTCGATGCGACCCCCCCTCGCGATTGGCTCCTATGGCACCTAGAAACACCAAATTTGGCAGGTAGGTGGCCCCCTGGAGTTCTCGCCCCTGTGCAAATTTGGTTGCTCTAGGTCAATATTTAGGGGGGTTTTGGGGGGTATAAATGTAAAAATTTCGCTGAAAACAGGTCAAAAGTTTTTCGCTTATAACTTTTGATCTAATTAAGATAGAGCAAAAAGAAAAGCACCAGTGAACTCAGCACGTCAAGGCGCGTCGAATGATATACTTTTTAGCTTGCTTAAGTGTACTTAAAGTTTTTTCTTAAATTTTAACCCTCGCACGACCAGGCCATTTCTCATAGCACGAACGACCAGGGGGGGGGGGTTGTTACGACCCCCCCCCTGGCGTTTCGAAACGGAAGGTCGTAGAGCTTAGCGGAAAAAACCAACGGATTGCTCTCAACGAGATCTCGCGATTGGTGGTATATTTTTGGGTCCTAGGTCAACATTTGACCTACTTTTGACCGGTCAAAGGTCAAATTTTCGGAAAAATAGATTTTTCAACTTTTGGCGGCGATTGCGGCAAAACGGTGGGAGATATCGACTTGAAACCTTCACTATCGTGTTCCTTGATCAATTCTCTATCGTTTGGTATGTATTTCGTTTCCCTAGCTCTAAAAATGGCGCGTTGGGAGCGCCGGAAGTCGGCAAGGTCACAGTCGGCGGCAGAAATTCGAAAAATAAAAATTTAAATTTTTGAAATTTGATTGTATTTTTGGATTTGGGAGGTCCATTTGCTCCCTATAGCAGCTAATATTGCTGCATATTCCCATTGAGGTGACAAGAATTAGCAAAATAGTGGTTCGGGCGCTTTTCAAAAATAGTACCGGACGCTGTTCCTCTTGTGACGTCATAGCTCCGTGACCTGACCTGACCCGGTCAAATTTCTTATACCATATGATAGCCAATACTTGCCCCAACATGCATGGGAAGTTTCATCACGATCCATCAACCGATGTCCGTACCACCGGCAGGAAACCTCGGGCGTTGGCACTCAGTTTGTGAAAATCCGGCCGGAGGCTGTACCTCTTATGACGTCATAACTCCGTGACCTGACATGACCCGATCAATTTTTTTCGGCAAAAAATGCGCAAAGGTTGCCCCAGAGGGTATTGAAAATTTCAGCCCGCTACGACAAGCCGTTTAGCGTGCACTTCGAAAAACCTCAGGGGGGGGGGGGGTTGATACAACCCCCCCCCTAGGCGTTCTAGGGTTAAGTAAACTTAAATTAATAACTTCAGTTAAAGTTGACCAAATGGCATCATATTGCATATCATTCGATTCGGCTGATCACCAGGAACACAATGATACCATTTTTGAAGCTCTAGCGTCATTATATGCCAAGTTATTGGCAAAAACGTCATTTGACCTCAGTTGACCTCATTTGACCTGACCCATGGATGAGTACACCAAACAAAGAAGCACCAAGTGACCTGCTGTTAAGTACTGTGGTTTCAAAGCACAAAAGTGATAAAACGAAGCGGATATCTCCAGTATTTTCCGAATTTAGTATTTTCCCATAGGCTTAACATTACGACGTCATGACCTCTAACTGACCTCAGGTCAGTGACCTCAAAAACCCGAACTATATGTTATACAGCTCGGTGAACTTAGCACATCCTGAAAGTTTGAAGGAAATCAGTGCAAAACTGTGAGTTGGACAGGTGCAAAAAGATTGAAATTTGACCATGACCTTGTACCGGTTTTTCTGACCTGGTGACCTGACCCAGGGTCACCCGGACCTGAAATTTTCAGGTCATATGTAAAAAGGTTGCCCCATAGGCTGTGCCAAATTTAGCGGCGCTGCGCGCTGCTGTTTTTACGCTATCTTTGAAAAACCTTAGGGGGGGGGGGGTCGCATCGACCCCCCCCCTGCCAGGGCGAGGGTTAATTAATATTACATTGCATACAGGGTTGGGCAGATAAATTGGGACAAATTTTAACTTCCTCTAAAACGACTATTTTTTGAGTGATAAAGATAATTTTTGAACATAAATATAGGCTAATGAATACGTTTCCATGTTATGCAGGTTGCGTTGCAATTTTGAGTCGGCTGGTCACAGAACGTGGGCTTAAGCAAGCCACTATCAACTTAGTCCGCGCGCACATGCGTGCCAATACTCTAATTATGCTCCATCAAATGGCTAAAAGTAGTGTGTATCGAACAGACGTAAACGTTGGAGGAAGAGATGATATTGACTCATCCTTACATACCAATTGCATTGACACCGGCCGCTCCCCCGGTTCTGCAGGGGGGCTAAAAGGCAAAATTCAGTTAAATCAGAGGATCCTCGCGAAAACAGTGGCGCGAGCTTACAACGAAGGTAGCCGCGCCATGAGAAAGCGATATACCAGCACCTCAAACATGTACTCTTATGCATTGATGCATATCAACCTGTCAACATAGATGTTGAAGCAGCTGTGACGTTAAAAAAATTGTTTCCTCTTGAAGGGCTTGGAGAAGCGAGCAAGCACGTGCAGGTCTTTTTCGACGACGGTATCCCCATAACCGAACATATGAACAACCGCAAACACCATGTAACATCGCAACCAGCCCAGAAGACGTGATCTTAGTTCCAAAAAGAATGCAGCAGACATCGGTGATGGTATTCCACTCGGTGACTTCCATGACGGTCACGTGGGGCCCCCTTATTTTACGGAACCGGGAGGGGGTTCGCCATTACAGGGTACCTAACCATTATTCCGGCAGTTCGAATCAACAAGATGAAAGAAGGCAACATCCTGCATGGAGTGATGCTCTTCGAGGAGTCAGCTCCCCGGCATACAGTAAATTAACCCGCGCACCGACGGGGGGGGCGGATATCCGCCCCCCCCCTGAGGTTTTTCGCGAATAGCGGGAAAACCGCGGCGCGTAGCGCCGCGAAATTTGGTATGACTATAACCTGATCAATTTTACACATGGTGTGCAAGTTTGAACCTCCTACCTTTCAAGGTCAGGTCACCAGGTCACTTTGAATGACCCAACCTCAAGTCACTTTTTTGCAACTTTGTCACCGTGCCAGAGCTACAGTAGATGTCGGAGGCCTTTGAAAGTCGCAGGATATTATTAGGTCATTAGTAGCTACAATTTGTATATCTCGGAATTTTGATATCGGTGACCTAAGGTCAGGTCAATTTCGCGACCTCCCCATTATAAGTCAATGGGGGAAAAATAAACTCCCTGTTTTACCACTAAAACGGGTCGGAATGGCCCCATATACCATACATGACTATATACGATCAACCTTCACTACCTTGAGGTCTGTTTTGCTGTTGGGCAGCTGTGAGGTCATGTGACGTCATCAAAGGTCACCAAAGGTTTTTGGCCAATAACTCCGTACAGGAACAAGATACAGACGCGTGGATGGTCTCATTGTGTTCAGCTCGTCAAGACGCATCGAATGATATACATGATGACCTCGAGGTCACGTGACCTGAGGTCAACCTTTGACCTTGACCTTTCAAGGTCAAAATATATATCATTCGATGCGGATTGACGAGAGGATCACGATGATGCCCTTAGTTTGTTCCTATCTTGACTAATTCGAAAGTTATTCGAGAAAAACTCTCCATATCTAGCGCCGCCATTTTGACTTTTTCGACCCCTGTGACGTCATCTTTGACCTGACCTGAAAATGACCTTAGTAAAAATTGTAGATCTTGGCCGTGCGTATCCGATGCCGTTTACCGCTTGTCGCTATCTTGCTTCGTTCTCGAGATCTCAGGGGGGGGGGCGGTCATCCGCCCCCCCCGTCGGTACTAAGTTGGCGCAGACCCCCGTCGGTGCGCGGGTTAAATACAAAATCTCCTGAAACGGAGGATCCCGCAAACTGTACCCAAGGGAAAATGCCCCCTTCCTCATTAAACCTCAGCCCACACAAGTTCTGGTTGCTGGGGCGTTTTTGCGGGTGAGCCTAACGAACGTCCCCATATGACTGTGGTGAGCCTCAGCAGTGCCAGTTGGCTACAATTACGAGCCATTTCAGACGGGAGATCTCGCCGCGCGTGCGGCCATTCCAGGCACCGATAAGGACTGATGCAGGTGGACCACGGTGACCATATTTGGTGAAAATGTGTAAAATTGGTGTGACAATATGTGATCCAAATCTGAAATGCCTATGTTTACAAATTTCTAAGCTACGGCGTTCTAAATGCAAATATGTATTTTGTCCCAATTTATCTGCCCAACCCTGTATGGTATCGGACCGGCTAAACATTACAGCCCACATGCATGGCTGCAATCGCAATACCTACTAAGCGCTGTCCTCACCACACAGCAGTGTGATTAGGTACAAGTTTCATCAATGACATCTCACCGTAAACGTCCAGGCGCCTCAAGGACGGCGGCAGCAGCCGCAGCCACCGTCCCGTCGAGTCAGGCGGAATGGAGACCGTGAGCTCCTCCAAGGTTCGGAGGGACTCCAAAACCATTATCACCTGCTTCTCGCTATGACCCGGTGGAAATGTGAACTGCTTCTCAGTCGAGAGTTCCTGCTTCTGGACTGTGACTACACTGGCCGCAGGTGATTGGCTCAATGTCTGCTTCGAGACGTCACTGGCCGCCGGCGACTGGAGCCCTCTCTGTGCTGTGTCGTTGATGCTGGTTTCTGTAGATGGACTGCAAAAGCAAACGAGAATAACGTTGAAGGCTCATACATAAAACTCGCACCTAGATAGATAGGGAGCGGTCAGGTGAACCCAATCGGTTTTTGACAAATAACCTTCGCCCCAGTGCACAGTGGGGATTTTTCCGATCTAGCGCCTATTAATTCAAAAAATATTTTTTGGATTTTTGTTTATTTTTTGTGTCAGTAGGGCTAAGAAATGTCTGAATTTTTCATATTTGGCATTATTTTATCTGTATGTCCACAGCAAAACTAGGAAAAATGCGCCCAAAGTTCACACTCATGCGTGATTACTCAATGGGCTCAGCAAGGCCCGAAAGTATAGCTCAATTTCATTGTCCTGTCCTGTTGGTTTTAATCTTGCGAGGTCTTCAAGTTGCATATCGTCTGAAAGGCACCTTTATTAGGAATGGAATGGCAAACAGAAAGTATGCCACAACCTTACTAAGGTCACAAAAATGCCCTTTACAAAAAAAAACCCTTACAGACACCATATTGTAGGAATGGTATTCTAAATAAATGTAGGAAATCAACAATGTTCTCCACACTTTTCCACTCCGAAATATATCCTATCGAATTCGCCACTTTCTTCTGCACAAGACAACGCCTAGTTTGGCTGCCGAAACTTGCCTGAACACGGAATATTCACATTAGAGTATCTTAATACCTCACTCGAGGAGCGCTAGGGCAAACAGCACGATATAGGTATGTTCCGGACATGGCGAATAATTTTACTTCGTGATTTATATGATGCATATTTTCTGAGACACATTCATTAGGAATAGGATGACAAGCGTAAATTATACATACCGTAACCTTATTAACCCGCGCCCCGTAGGGCTACCGGCGGACCCTACCACCCGTAGGGGGGGGGGGCGTTTCGGCCCCCCCTAAGATCTCGGAAAGTTACCGGCCGATTTTCAAAATTCAAACGGCGTTCGATAGCCCCACCCAAGAACTACCTTGTGACCAAATTTCATTGACCTAGGTCAAACCGATGACGTCACAGGTCAGGTCAAAGGTCAGATTTTCACCGTTCACAGGCATTTCAAGAAATGTGTTGTGAAATCGAGTAAATTGGTAATTTATTGAAAACCATCGATGGTACATTGTTCGTCAAACACATACTTTGCTATCTAAGGTCACTGATACCAGGTCAGGTCACAGCGAGGTCAGGTCACCGGGGGTCACATTATGAAAGTGTCGTGTGATACATGTTTTATGGTCCATTTTACATGACAAATGCGATTATGTGGGTTAGGTAGCCTTTGGGGCCAGCCTAGGTCACGTTTTGGTGAAGGTCAGGTCAAGGTCAGGTCAAATTAGGTCAAAATTCAAAGTTGATAATTTTGCATAAAATGGGTATCGATTCGATGCAGCTCGTCACGGGGAGTCCAATGATGGTCTTTGTTTTGCTCTACGAGGTCTAGAATTGCCAAAAATTGAGTTTGAAAATTTGACGTCATCATTTTTGAAAAGTTTTTCGCTATAACTTGGCCAAAAAACGAGGTATCGATCTGAAATTTGGTATGTAGATAGAAGACGGTAGGTACTATCACATATATTCCGGTTTTTTCGAAAATCAAAAAGCTTTTTGGATTTTTCGGCTTATATATCCAAAAAAATGCATTTTTGATTTTTGGGGGTCAAAACTCAAAAATTTCAAAAATCGGAGATAGCAGTTCTGTAGCCCTGTCAATTCTACACCTTTTGTGTCTTGATCATTTTTCTGTATCTTAAAAGCTGTAGGCCTGACAGGTCTTCTCGCGAAGGTCTTTTTTCGGTCGAAAATGACAGAACATGACGTCATTCTGACGTCATTTGTGGCCAACCTATCATAGCCTCTGGAAAAATGTTTGGTCACAATGTGTAAAATCGATGCCCGGAGGGGTCCTGAATGTTTGGTGGCGATATCTCCAGCCGTTTAGGAGATATCGACCGAAAAGGACGGGGGGGGGCCGTTTCGGCCTCCCCCCTACGGGGCGCGGGTTAACCATCGCACTTGTGGGGAGGGGGAGGGGGAAGGGGTCGGATAAAACCCCATGGTTTTCCGCAAATTACTCGCGCAAAAAGCGGCCGATCGCGCCGAAACTTTCGGTACCCTCGAGATCATCAATTTTACATCTAACCTAAAAATTTCATGACTCTGACCCAACTGACCTTTGACCTGTGGCATATTTCTCGAGACCATGTTTGGCCGGAATCGCGATTCGGCGTATGCCAGCTCACATTATCCGCGGTTTCCAGTCTTTTTGTGGTTTTAAACGTTCAAATATGTGAAATGATGTTGGTGCCATAAATAATGGTGGGTGTCAAGGTCACGTGAAGGTCAAGTCAAGGTCATTGACCTTTTGATGACCTTGGTTTACTTTTTCCAGTTTTACTTGTTTCTAGGGTAGTTTTTGGTGCTGATTTCGATTTTAGCAGCCATTTGAATATTTACGAAGTAGTTCTAGTGCCTTCGTTCCATGTTACGAAGCTATCAGTAGTAGGTGACACTTCTATGGATGGCCGGCAGGACGCCTACCAATTGATCTAACCTGACCTGACCCGACCTGGCCTAAATGCATAAAGACATCGTCTGTGCTCAAAACTAACATGAAATTCGTGATCAGCACCCCAAAATACCCCGTAACACCCTAACTTTGCGAAGTTTCAAGAGGTCTCGATTTCCCAACTTTAGTTGGGTCATTAAACTGACTTGGAAAGTCAGCTTATGACCTTGGACATTGAAATTGGATATATTCGGCCTAATTTCGTCATAGGCAGCACGCTTGACTTTTCCGCGAAGCTCTAGCTTGATCAGGGGCCAAACGGCTGAGCGGGGGGTCCAATTGAACCCCCTATACTATGTTGATTATGCACATTTACAGGTAAAATTCTCACCAGGACACACCAGCCAACATCTGTGCACAATCTGGCTACAATTCTACCTATGGTTTGCCCTCTACGAATAAATACGTGCTAGATCGGAAAAATCCCACTGTGCAGTGGGTGGAGGCATATGCTACCACCCTGTCGCGTTTTTTGCGTGTGAATAAAAAACCGCGGCGCGTAGCGCCGCGCAGCTTTGGGTAGATTTTGGTGCATCAATTTTGGACAATTTGTGAAATTTTTGACCCCAGGTCATGTCAGGTCAGGTCACCAGTCTGCTCTCGACCTCCGTCCCGGGCGGACGTGCCTCCGGTCCCCCGCTGCCGATTGGCCAACCCCTAATATCCTACCGCTGTCATTGCTGCCGACGGTCAAATTGAACACGAAATGGTGGGTGGTCAACGGACAAAAAGAAGAGCGGCAAATGCACCGAGAACGACACAGAATCAAAATGAAAACGTGTCGGAAAAGTCCAAAAAGCAGAAAATTCAAAAAGTTGTGGTTTCTTGTGCCAAGAAGGATTCAGAAAAACTGAGTACAGGTATTTTCAACGACACTGATGATACTGATCATCAGACAGTAAGTGACTCTGATTCTGATGTGAGTGAACATGATGATGATGCCCAATCTTGGTCTAAAGCTGGCAAAAAAGGAAAACGCACCCAAAAGGTAAGCTACACGTGCAAAGGTGGGCGTAAATCGTGTGGCAAATCTATAAAAGGAAATGAGTCTGCCATTCAGTGTGAATCATGCGAGGAATGGTTTCATCCGAGGTGTCAGGAACTGACGGAGAAGGCCTTCAACGCTATAGCTGAGCACGATATCTTCTGGATTTGTCATGAATGCAGAGTGTTCCTCCATGAGAAGACACAGTTTGCGAAGCAGATGAAAATGGAAATTAAAGAAGCAGAACTCACTATCAGCAAGAAGCTGGAGGAAGTCAAAGGTCTTGTAACAAGTGCCATTGACAAAAAAGTAGATGATGGTGTCAAGAAAATGGAACAAAGAATTGGTGAAAGCTCGGATGTACTGAAAAAAGCTGTGCAAGAGCGAGGTATCGACAGATCAATGAATATAATCGTACACAACTTTCCTGAAAGCACCAAACCTGAGACATCTGAGAAGCAGGAAGAGGACATCATCAAAGTCAACGAGATGTTCAAAACCATCTGTGGCAAATCAGACGAGGTGAAAGCAGTGGAGGGTTTCCGCCTACGGAGGAGAGCTGTTGACCCCAACGAAGTGAACAGAAAGCCAGGACTGCTGCTGATCAAAATGAACAATCAACAAGATGCTGAGATGATACTGAAGAAAAGGTTCCTGCTGAGAGAAAAGGGATTCCCTAACATCTTTCTGACAAAGGATCTCTCAAAAGAAGAACGAGAAAAACAATGGAAACTAAGGGAAGAACTCCGGAAGAAAGGTAAGGACACCCACATGATATTTCAAGGGCGTGTCGTACCCAGAGAAGAGAAGTAGTCTGGAACAGAACAGTTCAAAAAATGTAAGAACCAACAAGACTACACAAGTTGTGGATATTTCTGCCCTGAAATGTGTGTATACCAACATTGATGGGATGAATGCAGTCAAGTGTGCTGAATTGTTTGCTGTAATAACCAGAGAAGGCCCACACATAGTATTTATCACTGAAACCAAACTGTCGGATGAGGTGTCACAATTCCAGGGCTGTGATGACTACCGTGTGTTCAGACGAGATAGAGGATTTGGAAAAGGAGGAGGTGTGCTGTTAATGGTCCGTAAAGATCTTACTGCATGGGAGGCGCCTGGCTTAAGGTGGGAAAATGTTGAAACAATCTCATGTGTACTCAAAACTGGGAACAAGACAGCCTTACTGGTATGTGTTTACCGACCCCCAAACGCCTCTCATGATAACAATGACAAGCTGTGTCAGTTCATCACCCAAGTATGTGATTTCAAATCAGACCAGCTCCTGGTATGTGGTGATTTTAATTACAGAGGGATAAATTGGGAAGCAGATTCTGTTGACGGATCTCAGGATAGTGATCAGGCGAGATTCTATGATGCTTGCCAGGATGGTTTTCTGTACCAACATGTGAGGGACTTCACACGGTCAAGGGGCTTGGATGAACCCT